TGCACCTCTTTTTTCATCCCCCACCCAGATTGATCTTACTTTATATAGACTTGTGTGGCCAATTATAAGACAGAATCAATATGTGCAAAATGATGAATAATGTGTTCACACTAAAAACATTGGTAAGTGGGCCACTATGTAAAAGTGCCGCAGAGTGAAGTTGGTTGGGTTTGAACTACAAAGTAATTTAGTCAAGTGTGGACGCCTGAGAGTGTGGACAAATATGAAAGAAACAGCATGATGATATAACTGATGACCACGCATGACTTCAAGATCCTCATTAAGCTGATAAGATGAGAGAGAGAGACTGACTCAAAGCTCTTATGCAAACCACGTATGTGTGCGCACACACACGCAGTCTAGCTTCCCTGCCTTCAGACCATCTAATCAAGCCGTGACTCACAACACTCGATGGCTCCCTATTAGCATCACTGATGAGTTCAAAATAAATAAGCAGAATGCCACCAGCAAGGTCCTTTCATGACATATATAATCACTTTCCCCAGGTTCCTTATTAGACCTGAAAACACCTTATTTCGCCCTCTGTCTCTTTTCCTCTCCCCTGCTTGGTCAGTTTGAGCTCTGGAAAAATTTAAGGCGGCTGCCAGTTGAAACTTCAGCATGTTTTTAAATAGCTAAATTTAAATAATAATAAACATCCACTTTTGAGGGATGATTCTCAAAACTCCTTTGGCAAATACTCATCCTCTGTGAGTCGGCTCAATTTACACACTGAATTTCTGTCCTGCTGTACTTGCACATTTCCCATCAAGGCCTGACATTATTCAGTGTGGCTGTAATGAGAGATGGAAGTGGTAGAAGGAAAAATGTGCTGTTTATTTCAACCATCTGTGACTGGCCTGAAAATTCCCTTTAATAGTCCTCGCTGTACAGCACAGGGAGAGAATGATTCTACTGAGAGCTATGTCTGTGTCAAGAGAGTGACACGATCACTGAGAGAAAGCAGGTGCAGGGTTTAATCGTAACTGAATTTGTTTTGTGAGTCAAACATTTGAAATCTCTCTGACATTGTGTCTCTCTTGGAAAAATGGTAAATTACGAATATTGCTGCTGTGCTTAAAGAATCAAAAATAAGTAAATAAAAAGGACTGTTTGTTTTTGCTGACAGAAATCTTCATTTCCAAATTTAAATTAGGAACATAAACTTGCATGTGTTGCAGTCTACTTAGCTACATTTTCAGATACAAGCACAACACAGAGGCCGTGGAGGAACGTGTCGTCAGGTTTGTCGATGCTCCTGCTGTGTGTTTTGCGAGCTTTTAATGCCATTAAACCGAGGGCTCTCTGGGGACGGAGAAAGCAGAGTTGAAATGAATTGTGTCAGTTGAACAAGTTTAACTCTTTACAGGTGGTCAATAATGTGGTCTTTAAATAGCAGCGTTGCAGGGAGCTGTGTAGTAGCTACATGTATTAATGATGAAGCTCCAGCCGTGCTGGCCTACTTCTGGGTGACTGCTCCGGTCCCAGCGATACACACCTCGCTCTCTCTCTGTTTTTTCAGTTTTTGTTTCTATCACTCATTTCTCTCCTGTAGTGTCAGATCTGTTTCACTGGAGGTATGCACTTCTTAGCCAGGGGGCAGATTGGAGCTATAGTGTATACCCATCATCTCAGGAGTATCAATATGATCACACCTGCTGGCTTATCATGTACTCTATTATCTATTTATGTGTCAATATGAAATAATTCAGTTTGGTTCCTGGTTGGTGTCACTGAGCTACAACTGCAGAATAAACAAACATTTCAAATTTGAAAAGGTCACTTTTAAAAGATCCCTTTAAAAGTTCCCGACAGCATCATTTGGGTCCACAGCCTTTTTAAGAGTCCGTCAACAACATGTTGAAATGTCAGAGGATTCTAATGCATGTTTGGATTCTAAAGTGGCATTTACTTTGTAATTTCTCAAGTGAGACTTTATAGACATTCAAAACATGGTTTGAAAGAGTTGTTTATAATACAGGCTACACAGGCAGCAGCTCTCGAGAGGCATGAGTTGAGTCCTTGCTTGCTAATGTCGATGATCCCCAAAATGGCTAAAGTGCCTTTGAGCAAAAACAGTAAATCCTACTGACTCTTGCACCAATGCAATGAAGGTGAATACCTCCATGTCTTTTTTTCTGACCCTACAGTCAATGCAGAACAAAATTTAAAATTTAAATTTAAGTGTTAAGTGAAATAGTGTTTCCTCAGAGGTAAAACACACACAGCGCAGGAAAGCTAAAAAATGCAGTTTGGCTTGAGGCAAGGTTGGTTAAAGTGGACACATGAAAAAGACAAAAGGAAATGAATGCAGTGTAAAGGCTGCAATAAAAACACGTGTTAGCATGAAACAGACTTTCAGAGACTTCAGTGATTTTGCCCTGCAGCTGGTGTGTGTTTGTAGACTGCAAATTACACTTCATTATAATTATTTTCATCACAAACTGAATTTTGAATAAATCACATGAATCACACAATGACATCAGAGTGTTTTGTTCTGTGTTTGGTGTGGATGTGAATTGTGATGTGGCAGGAAAAGATAAACCTTTGTCAAACAAAACAATATACATCCCAGTGTTTTGTGATACATTGTGTGACCTTGTGTAAAGATATACAACAAAAACAAAATAATCCAAATTATATTAACAGCTGTCGGTATGAATATCAACACTTTGCACACCAAATTATATTAAACTATATTATTATATCATGTCATAATTACATCAATTCTGTTCTTTTAAGTGGTTCTGTCAATGGTGCTGAGAAGAAATCTCAGCCATGTCGCAATACAAACAGAAGGAGGCGCTGTTGCTCATTCCAAGATACATTTCTATGCAAGAGAAATTTCACATAATGTTAAAACTCCGTGGCTCTAACCACCATTTATTTGTCTGTTGGAGATAATAACTGTGCGAGCAGATTTTCACCATTGTTGCAAAATCAAAACTGCAATAATGAGGCACTCTGAATGCTAAACTGGGAATAATATACTCGGTTTGTATTGTGGAAGCCAAATAACATGTACTGTATTAATGCATTTAAAATGAAATATCATGCTAATGGATTCACGCTGGGGGTCAAGTTGCAGCATTGTAATAGTTTAGTTTATGATAATAATGGTACAAAGATGGGTGCAGAGGTTTCACTGCCTGAAACTTGATTTTAAAATGAATCAGTGTCTTAACCTCGGACAGGACCAAGTCATTTTAACATATAGCTAAGGGTAAAAATAATTATATATAGATAATAGAATGCTTTAATGCTTTTAGGGAATGTGATGATGGTTGAGATTATGCAGAGACATTTTTCCACCAACCACCAGCAGCCTGGAATCGCCTCTTACGCGCGCAAATGTGTGTGTGTGTATGTGTGTGTGTGTGTGTGTGTGTGTGTGTGAGGGAGGGGGGGGGGGCAGCCGTTCAGGCACCACCCAGCTGAGGGTGAGAAGCTCGTTTCAGCACCACGGGCAGCTCCCGGTGAAAGCAGCCGCTCCTCTCCGCTGCTCCGAGGAGAAGAAGAAGAAATAAAAACCCATCAAACATCAGAGATTTTTAACCCCCCCCCCGGAGAACTGGAGCTTTTGGTTTAATTCAATCCCGAGAAGGCGACATATCTGTAGTGACAGGCTACGGACAAAACCATTACAGGACTCCCGAGGTTGGCGTGTGCAATCTCTGCGAAGTTTTCCCTCGCCGCTGAAAAGGCGCTCTGCCTCCATCCTGCCCCGGAGGAAACTACACCTGCTCGTCGTGCAGGGGGAAGTTGAAGTGAGAATACATCTGCACCTTGTGTGGACTACATCCGAGGAGAAGTTTGGGGACTTTTACCTTCGTTTCACCAGCTCCACTGCATGCGTAAATATCTGGTTTAGTGTGCAGAAGGATTGTCCTTTTCTTGTTGGATGATACTTCCAGAAGGACAAAAAAAAAAGGAGCAGAAAAGACAAGTTTCTCATCTTTTCCGGTGCAATAGGCTTCTTCAGCCTTCGTCGCTCCCCCCTGTGCAATGCTCTTTTTTCCCCGTACAGAGATGGGAGAACGACAGCCCCATGACGCGAGCTTCTGATGCGTCCGGATCCACCTCACCTCTCTGGCTGCACCGCTCCTGATCCATCCCTCCTCCTCTGAGTCTGTTTCATTCCACATCCACAGAGGCACTGCCATCTTTCTCCCTGCTAAAGACTGGTAGGTGACAATGGCCATGGATGGATGAGCGTTGCCTTATTCAGATCGTTGTGAGATGAAGTTGGAGGCCCTGCAGCACAGATTAAAGGAGGGCAAAGCTTAGACAACTTTTTCCTGATCCATGTTTTTTTAAACTTGCAGCAGAGGAAAGGTGTGTATCCTGTGTGTTCATGACGGAAAGGATGGCGCTGACTGCAAACTGCAGGACTAACCCCAAAGAGCAGGCATCCGTCCAGAACAGCTTCCCAGATGTGGTTGAATTAAACGTCGGCGGGCAGGTTTATTACACGCGTCACTCAACTTTGGTGAACAACCCGAATTCATTACTCGGTAAGTTATTCTCCTCCAAGAAAGAGGCGTCGAATGATTTGGCGAGGGACCCCAAGGGACGTTATTTCATTGACAGAGACGGGTTTTTATTCCGGTATGTGTTGGACTTCCTCCGAGACCGACAGGTCGTCCTCCCGGACCACTTCCCGGAGAAAGGGCGGCTCAGGAAGGAGGCGGAGTACTTCCAGCTGCCCGACCTGGTGAAGCTGCTGAGCCCCGAGGACATCAAGCAAAGCCCGGACGACTACTTCCACAGCGACTACGAGGATGGATCCCAGGGCAGCGACCACCGGCAGTGCCCGCCACCCTCCCTCGTCCCCGCGGACAGAAAGAGCGGCTTCATCACGGTGGGGTACCGGGGGTCGTGCACCATGGGCCGAGAGAGTCAGAGCGACGCCAAGTTCAGGAGGGTCCCTCGGATACTTATATGCGGACGCGTGGCCCTGGCTAAAGAAGTTTTTGGGGAGACCCTGAACGAGAGCCGGGACCCGGACCGGACCCCGGATCGGTACACCTCCCGGTTTTACCTAAAGTTCAAACACCTGGAGAGATCCTTTGACATGCTGTCGGAGTGCGGTTTCCAAATGGTGGCCTGCAACTCCTCGGTCACAGCGTCGGTCGTCAACCAGCACACAGAGGACAAGGTCTGGTCCAGCTACACAGAATACGTCTTTTACCGTAAGTTTCACCTTTGACGCACATGCATGCACACACACGAACTTAGAATCGCCGCTAGTGGGCGCTCTTAGCTGGATGCTGTCTGGAGAGGAACATCTGGGAATGGGGACGGAAGGGCGTTTCTGGTTCCAGTCTGAATAGGTGAACACTATTGTGAACGCCTCCCTGTGGTGATTTGAATTGTTTCTGCCTTTTTCTACAACTGCAGCGTCCTTTCCTCTGGTTGAAATGCTCACAAAGGTAGCGTCAAACTTTCACGCTCTGTTGGTGTACAAAGTTTTTTCCGAGCCCTGCTGAAAATAAAAAAGATTTGAACAATTTCACTCCAATCTGAGCCACGGTAATAGTTGTGGCAATGACGCTTGCCATTTCTCATCATGGTGAAATTTTCCACACCACCTCTCTGCTTTCATCCAGCTCTTCCTTTCATCTCGGGCATTTCCTTCTGGTGCTCCTACGCCGTCGCCCTACAATTTATCCATCTTCGCCGCTGATCTGGCAGTGAGAGAGTGGTGGTGGTGGTGGTGGTGAAGAAGAGGTCATTGTTACATTTATGTTGGCCCTTGTAAAGTTTTACGATGCCACAAAATAATCCATATATATTTGTGTCGGAGATAACTGCCACAATGCAGCTGCCGTGGTGTAGATCCAGTTAACGGCCTCTGTACCTGTGACTAATTTGGAAGTTATAAGACAAACTTCCCATAGAATAACCCCTGACCCTGTAGCAGCAGCCATTTTTGGAATGCCATCAAATATTGAGACGGAAAAACAACAATGGAACAAAAAAATGGAATTTGCGAATTTGATTGCTTTAACTTGTATGGAGACCCCCATTGATAGTGTTTGGCAACATGTTAGAGACTGACACACTGCCAGACATATTAGCCTGACTCGTGAATCACAAGAAAACAGATTAGACTCTGTGAAACTTGTGATTACAAAATCTATTTCTATCTTCTAAGTAGACTGTGAATATTTGAAACTGCTGCTGATTGAAGTATGTTAGAATCGCAAAAGATCAAATCAAGTCCTGTTACATAAGTGAAACATCAGTGCACAATGTGCTGACTGTTGCTGCAAATACAGCTGGAGAAGCTGCCAAAAGCACTGACATCTATGTGTCAAGGGAGCAATTTGATATCCACTAATAACACAGAGGAAGAGTTTCTATTCTTAATTCAGTGATGTAGAAAATATGCGTACTTTAATTCAAATAGGAGTGGTGACGTTCACTCATCTTTCTCTATACTTTTATTATAACATTCAGTGAGGTACCAAACTATCTCAACAAACAAACACAAAAACTACACAAAAGCCAGCCACAATAGGTTGGAATTCCTGCCCTGTTCTCCCAAAAAAGTAATTTTTGATTACAGAAAATACATTTTTGATACTTTTGTCAGTAGTAATGAAGCTGTCTCATATTTATGTGAAACATTTTGCAGTTTAACTAGAGATATTCATTCAAGTTATTTTGACTTTGCCCATTTGTTTCAGTGCTCCAGATGTTTGACAAGTGAAAACAGTTATGGGCAAAAATCCTTTAAAAGGCTCATTTTTAATCTGACTCAGAGGAAGACATTCTAACATTGCTTTTACATTCTTCACATCTGAAAAGGATATTTTATTCATTTTGTTCCAAGATGTACTAGAAATGACTAGGATGAGGTTTCAGGAGCGCTGGTTAGAAATCACTGAGCCGTGCCTTTAGGAAAACCCCTGCTGGCCCCATAAATCATATAAGTCAAAAGATGACATGGTCACAGAGCAAACACAGTTAATAAAAGACATGATTGTGCTGGTTCCAGGCTAAATGAGCTCTGCATTAATGGTCTGCATGCAGCAGCCACAACAACTGGATGGCTCTTGGCTCTCATAACCCCCAGGAGTAGCACTAACAAGCCAAATCAAGTAGTGGTGGGGGATGGTGACACATTCACGCTCATGCAGAGATGAAGGCAAGCACACATGCACACACACATGCACGCATATTATATGACAGTGTGTGTGTGCTGCCTCCACAGACCTCTTGCTTACTGACAAACAACAAGTGCTTCCTGGCTTTGTTGACAAATGTTCAGCTTGTTCGAGGGCACACACTTAAAGACGAGGGCACAAACAGTAGCAGATGTGTTGGACCTCTGCACACACGGTGACACAGAAGCCTACATGCAGCACTGCAAAAGTAAAAATGATAATGAAAATGATAACACCCACTCAGAGGCGACAGTTACACAAACAGATAACCAGGCGCACTCTCAGAGGCAAACGTGCACATGAGGACGCACAAAGATGCACGTGCACACAGGTAAGCATGCATGGAGTCTGTTAAAGGAAGCATTCATCCAGATAAGTGTAGTCATTGACCTCAGATATTTGACGTTACTGTAGTGTGTCAGTACAAACCATTGATTCACAAATATTTACACAGTTTCCACTGGTATCAACTATACCTGTTTTACACCGAAATTAGGGGGTTTAAAATTAGCAGGTAAACACAGCAGAAAAAGGGCATTTGTTAACTTTCCCATCGTCATCCAAGGAGTTTGCCTCTGTGGGTTTTGTCATAATCGAATGATTGGCCTGAAGTTAATGTAGTATGCGCAGACTGCCAAAATAAAGAAGAAAAAAATCCAGTGTGTTCACCTGTTTTTTGATTAAAACCTATTTCACCCAGGAGTAAATACAGTTTATACCAATTCCCATTGAAGAAAGTGGGCAAGTGGGTTTTTTGACCACTGGAAATGGGGCTTTAGAGCATATTATCTAAAGGTTAGAGGGATTTTTGGGAACTCCCTTGACCCAGGGCCTGAGACCCAGTATTCTGTTTACCTGCTCATCACATTTTTTGGTGTGCTCATCTTTTCCCTCTCCCCCCTTGTCTTTTCTCTCCCTCTTCTCATTTCACGGCTCCACATTTCTCTTTAGTCAATTACACCCAGCTTTTCTCTCGTGTCTCAGTTCCTCACCTTCCATCTCTCCATCTTCAATTTACTGTATGTGCTGCTGGGGGCAAGGAGCAGCGCGGTGGCACCAGCTACCTTTACATGCCTCAGTGCACCATCACGCCTCCTGTCTCGCTTCTTATTCACTTATCTGTCTCTCTGCCTGTCCGTCTCCATGAGCGTTTACTTATAACTTCATATTCAGCCGTGTCATTCCACATTTTAAGGATTTTATTGTGCCTCTCATCATTACGCACTGACAATGTGTTGGTCTTTCTTTTTTGTTGGCCCTCTGTCGGCCATATTGGAGGTCTTTGGCAACAGTGGCAACTCATTGTGCCTCTCACATTGTGATTGGATCCTGTCAACATCTTGACAGGCTTTTGACGAGCTCATGTTCTGGCCATGCTTGAGGCACAAGTGGGCTTTAAACATCGTGCTGACATTTTCGGGAAAGTGTCGCTCCACTTTCGACATGCACAATGCCTGGACCCTCGACATGAACCTCCCTGAACATCAGGGAGGTGAACAACATGGGGCGGCTCTGGTTAATGAGATACAGAGAATTGTTGGGCAAGACACTAAACCCCAAAGTATGTGAGTAAATGTATAAGATAAGATAAAACTATTGATCCCACAATGGGATCAGAACGAGGTAGACAAGAGAATAAAAATACAAAAGAAGTCAGCAGAAATAAAAATGAGAGAATATGTACATAATAAACACCCTTCACTACAGAAAAAATATTGCTTGTAAAGAAAAAAGTATTTCGGTAAGCGCAGGATGATTGCAAAAGAATATAAAAGCATAAGGTGAAACTGAGATAGGCAAAATGACTGTTGTGCAAAAAGACCATTTTAAGTTAACCAAAAAAAGATACGAAACGTTAAACGATATGATTATGCTACATCGGTAGTGTGCAGACGATACTGATGTGCAAAATAGTGTAAACATAGTTAAGAACAGTCCTAAGTAGATTATGATGATAAAAAAAAACAGCCACTATTAATTTAATGTTATGTTTGCTGTTGTAGAGTCAGCAGTGGGAATAAAGGACCAGTTGAAGTGTTAGTTCTTAGTGCAGCAGCCTGCTGCTGCTGAAAGAGCTGTTCAGGGCCTCCACAGTGTCGTGTAGGGGGTGAGAGGTGTTGTCCATGATGGAGGTCAACTTCACCAACATCCTTCTCTCACCCACTTCCTCAGAGAAATCCAGAGGGATCCAGGACTGAGCTGGCTCCCCTAATGTATGAGCAGGCGAATGGTACGTTCAGTGGAGCTCTGTAAGTGGTCACTTAGTGCTATATAAAAGCAATCCATTGACCATATACCTCTTAAAAATGTGAGCCAGGCTTTACTTCAGTGGTCAACCCCGTGGACTAATGTTCCTGATGCTGGATTGGACTAAAGCTATTGATCAATTAAGTATATAGATTCATTTATATTGAATTTATATTTTAATCTCTACTAAATATTTTGATTTATTCCCCATAAATCAATAGATCCAACTATCCTCTGCACATAAGGTTAGGTTCAAAAATGTTGTGGAAAGTATCTTAAGTGTATGTATCCTTATGTAATGTTCTATCCATATATCTTTGGCAGCATAGTGTATCTGCCTTTTAGCTGCACCAAGGATGTTATGTTTTCACCCGTGTGTTTGTTTGTAGGTTGGTTTGTGTGTCTGTTTGTCATCAGGATGAATTACCTCAAAACTTGGAAGGATGCAGTGTTGGTGCTGGATTTGCACCGAATTTCAATTTCGGTGCAGATCCAGATCAGGGAGCGGAACCAACATTCTCTTTCACTTTCTTTAACATTGTGTGTTTTCACTATTTACACAAGGAGGAGTTAATTCATGGATCCAGATGAAAAAATATACTTAGGCCTTGGTGGAGGTATGCACTCTATTAAGTGACATATTTGATCTGAAGGAAAGGTGCAGATTGGTAACTGTAACCCACTACAACAATTTCAGGTATTTTGTAATTTTATAAATTGGATTACATCCATTTCAACTCTGTGCCTTCATAATGGAGCCAAGTGTATTAAGGACACTTCAACTACAACTGAGTGTCTCACTCATTCACTTTCTGTTTCCAATTTGATTGACACAACTTCCACTAACAACCTCCATGTTTTCTTTGCCAGAAGCTTGAACATCTATTATGTCTTTCAATCCTCAGTTTTTCTTGTTATCTATTGCCCTGGATTCTACGCTGCTCAGATTTTAGCTATCAATCTGTTTTCTGTTTGTAATTAGTCAAATTCTTGATGGCCTGTAGGAAAATGTATTTACAAATTTGCTGCATAGCAAGAAAGATAATTAATCATCTTCACGAACAGTAGATTCAGTGGTTCTCGCCGCAGGGCCTGACAGAGCCTGTGCTGCAACAGAACCATCCAACACAACCTCCTCCATGAGGCAAAAGAAGGCAATATTTCTAAAAACCTGCTGAGAGAATACGAAAACCATGTTTTCTGGCTCAGGATGTGTTTCCCTAGGCTGTATTTTTTTCCTCAGCTGAACATGCCAGATTGAAGTGTGTGTACAAATGGCCCCTCTGATATGGCCATGTGTGTTGGTGTGTGTCACATTGTGCCATTAGCCTGTTACACGCAGATGAGCAACTCCTTGTATGGCAAATGTGTTTTGGCAGGTGGGAAGAAAGGGGTCATGATAATGGTTACGGTGTTTGTGAGTGTGTGAGTGTGTGAGTGTGTGTGTGAGAGAGATAATGTGACCCATGTTGCACTACCTGAGGCATTTGCACACCCGTTGAGCCTCTAGCTAAACACACCGGCAATCCACCAAGCAGCCAGACACACACACACACACACACACCAACACACGTACACCCACTTGTAGACACAAATACCCATCGCTATAAGAAACTATCATCCCGCGAGCCTCTCCCTGCCCAGTCGGTGAAGACATTAGCAGCGGCGGTCCCATGCTGCAGGCCTGTAGGAAGTGATTAGCCGAGGAGCAGACAGGCCGTGACAGCTCTGAGGAGAGTCTTGATAGGGACAGCTGCTACCCTGGCCTCAGCTCCACAGGGGAGTCCACCACCGCACACCTCAACTCTGCATTATCCAGACAAAAAGGAAGGTGAGAGGAAGCAGGTGGAGAACTATTTTTTAACGCCTCTGTTACTATGACTACTCTGTTACTGATGACCACTTCTAATACAACTAGTACTAGAGTTCAGGCTGTACCAAGATTTAAACCATAAAAGTGATGTCATTAAGATTTTTACACGTCTATTCATCCATCCATTATCTATACCACCTTTCCTTATGAGGCTCTCAGGGGAGAGCTGGAGCCAATCCCAGCTGACGTTGGGCGTGTAAACCCTGGACATTTACTTTCCATTATGTTACAAACTGTTTATTCTAATCAATGTTGTAAATACTCTCATTTTGTTGATGTTCTCCGTTACCCGTGGTGTCTATTGCACTTCTGTCCATCCAGGGAGAGGGATCCCTCACATGTGGCTCTCTCTGAGGTTTCTAGGTTCTTTTCCCCCTGTTAAAGTTTTTTTTATGTAGTTTTTTTCTTTACTCTTGTTGAGGGTTAAGGACAGAGGATGTCACACCTTGATAAGCTCTATGAGACAAATTGTGATTTGTGAATATGGGCTTTACAAATAAAATTTGATTGATTGACATTTACCCGACGTATCACAGGCCAAACATACAGAGAGAAACAACCATTCACACCTACGGACAATTTAAAGTCGAGACATAACCTCCATTCTGCATGTCTCTGGACTGTGGGAGGAGGCTGGATTACCCAGAGACCCACGCAAACACGGGAAGAACATGCAAAGCCTGCAACCAGAGCTTCCTGCTGCAGTTATAGTATGTAGTCCTCTCAAATAAATGACATGGGTCCACTATGTTAAACTGTAGTTGCTTGAGTATTTACACAAAAGTGTAGATGCATAAAAGTGTGAGTGAGAAAGAGTCTGAGCTGCTGTGTTTTTTTTTTACAAGCTGTTGGCGAAGAAGAGACTCCTGACTGAGCTGGAAAAAAAACATAAAAGCTCACATGATCCTTTCCTTTCCTTTTCAAAACGATAAAAAGCTGCTGTAGGCTTGGAATATTTTTACAGGTAAAATTAAACAAAATCCTTTTTCTCAGGTAAGGACGACTGATTTAAAACAGTGGATGGAAAAGGGAGTGGAAGGAGTGAGCGATTGAAGGTGAAACTCCAAAAGCAGCTGAGGGTAAACAGAAAGTGAACTCAGTTTTCACTTTTGAAATAGAGTTTATTCACCTTCTTGAATAAATTGAGGGAAAAACAGGAAATCAATGTAGATGAAGCTCATCCTGAAACAATATTCTTATTTGCATTTAAATTGTGGTTATTTGATTGATTTCACAGTGGGAGGGGCAGGTGGGGTTATAACAAAATAAGGGGAGAACACTATAAAAGCAAGAATAAAAAAGGGGCAAGCGGGTCATATGAAAAGAAGATCGACTTTTTTGTTTGTCTAGCCTCCCCTTGACCTTCTCCCCTGGAAGCTTAGCGTAGCTACGTAGCGAATATTCCCATAATCCCCAGTCTCTGGAGAATACAGGGAACTACAGAGCTCTGGGAGAGTGTGCAAGAGAGAAAGTGAACACCAGAGCGTCAACAAGCTCCTCTAAGCCCTCTGCAACTCCCTCCTCTCCTTGCTGTCTATCAGCCCATTTTCTCCTCCTCTGTGACTCTTGACACTCTATTCTCTCCGTGGCGGTGGGCACAGTTGATACAATGCCGATGCTCTCCCCCTGTTGTGTTGGAATAAGTGCTCCGCGGTGCGACGAGGTGTGGAGCGCCGCCATAATGACAGAAACTGCAGCTGGAGAGCCTCTTCACTCGCTCAATCCGCCGGCTGGCTGCTGCAATGCATCAATGCTTTAACATCCCGGCTATGTGCGAGTCCAGATTGACTGGAAAAAACATGCACAGAATCCCCATCACATCAGTAATTGCACAGCATAATCAAACCAATGGCTGTTGCCACTGTGGGGGTGCGGGTCACGCATCAGAATAATGCTGCTGCCATTAAAGTTTCTCCAACTGAGGATCTGGCACAACAAAATGAAAATCAGAGAATAATAGATAAGCTCCCATACATGAGCCTGTTTGTTGCTTGGTTTTTGTTTGTCGGCAGGATTACGCAAAACGACTAAGTGGAATTTCACAAAACTTGATGGGACAAGGGACAAGAAAGCAGCCATTGCATTTTTACATGGATTCTGTCAAAGAGGCCGATCCAGGTACTTTATCTAGATCAAGTGTTTTGTGACATTTCTACCAATTCTCCCAGCGAATAATTAATGAATCTTGATGGGATGATGTCATGACATATTTAGGGGAGTGATATTTATGTGTGTGTGCAATTTGGTGTAGCTTGATTCAGTTTAAGGGTCTTGGCAGAGGAAGAGTCAGATTCTAGTTGTTACTGATATAATAGCTAATAACAGTGAACGTACCCACAGGTAGGGATTTCTGCAGTATGAGTTTTTTATTTTATTTGAGTTTGGTTTGGGTGCATTTCTAAATGTTTAGAGGCAAATTTAACTCAAACTGAAACTTGATGTAAATAAATTGACGATCTTGTCTTTGTCTCTTTTGCACGGGGGTCAGGAAGCTGGCTCACATGTGGTGATACATGTCTGGTGTTTCCAGGGCACATGGTAGCTTAAACCTGTGTTTCCTGTTTGTGCCATTGAGCATGTTTTTACTTCGGCAACCCAGGGCTAAATTCTCAGTCTGTCGACAGCAGAGACATCAGAGCTGGTAAAAAATAAAGTGTTTTGGGAGTGAATTTGTGTTGCTTCACTGGTACGTTTGTTTTCTTCTTCTCTCTCGCTCATCATCTGCCTCCACCTCATGCATCGTGTGCAGATAGTGTGACTGATGAAGCAGTGGGTCAATAATCAGGATATTACTTAAACTTCTTCATAAAACTTTCCAGTTTACTTGTGTTTTTTGGAGCATTCCTTATTCCTAGGTGCCTCATTAGCAACACACATTGTCACTCACACCACAGTGGTCCGCGGCTTGATGGAGCATATGGTCATAACGCTGTAATCTCACTCCAACGTGCTTTATAGCCTCCCAGGGCAGAGTGTCA